GACAGCAGTAAGGTGTTTCCCTCGGACAAACAGCATCTGCAGCGATGCCGCCTTCTCACAGGGAACGAAGGGTTAGAAAAGGTTGACCCTAAAAATGTCACACCTCACCCTACCTCACGGATTTCCGTCTCCGGCGGTAAGGGAGCCCACTAAGGGCTTTTAAGAACGGAGCTAATACTCAAAATACGTTTCGTAAAAAGGCCGTGCGTGACCGGCCTTAAGCAGTTGTCCCTTTGGCTCTGCGGTCACGCTCCCATGTCTCTAAAACCGACACTAATCTACCTTCCTTTTCAGGTCCCTCAAGGAACAACCTTCCATAGTGTGGGCAGCCGGGAAGTGACAACCGCACTCAAATCAGTAATAGCAAACGAGATCAAATTGGTCACAATCAAATCCTTCCTACACACCCTAACATCTCTCTTATCTCCACGACTAACTCTTCTCACATTCCCTTATCTAACTGCACCGCTAATGCAAACGATGCGAGTTCACGAAAAGTTATTCCTGGTCTCCTGAAACACCGTTCTAGACTACATGTTGGAGCTTTTAATGCACGGACATTGTCAAATGGGGCGACAGGCTTCCTTATCAAGGACTTTAGAATCTCGTGTCATCGATGTATGCTGCATCTCGGAAACGCGCATACAGGATCCTAGTAAAGTCATTAATTTGATTTCGCCTTGTCAAAATAAAGAAGCAGCTCTATTTACTCTTCGTGTATCCGGTAGCCCTGATGCTGCTTCCCGGTGTAGATATAGCATTGAATCGTAGGGCAGAATTATCTTTCCTAGACTGGATCTCAGTAGATAGTCGCATGTGCGCTGTCCGACTAAACGGGACGGTAAGTATTCGGAAGGATAGGGACATTCGCCGTTGCCTCTTCGTCATATCTGCCTACGCTCCCACTGACTGCAGTTCAGACGAAGTAAAAGATGAGTTTTACAGAAAGATTTCGGACCTCCTCCAAACAGTTAGGCGCTCTGATATAAAAATGATGTCTTGTGACTTCAACGCTCAAGTTGGTAGACTAAGTGAAAAGGAAAGACATCTTGGTGGATGTTATGGTGTCGCCGCTCGGAAAACAGACAATGGTGACCGTCTGTTGGAACTTTGCTCAGACAACCGCCTATTCTTATCAAACACAAAACTTAAGGCATAAGGAAAATCATCTCTTGACCTGGCGACCCACAAAGTCGTCTCAACATGGACGCAACTAGATCATATCGCCATTAGCCACAGATTGAGGGGTTCGATAGACGACTGTCACTCGCTCTGGGGCAGATGTTTGGATTCAGATCATGCCCTAATGCAAGCGCGTATTTGTTTGAAGCTTACTGGAAAGACACCGTAGGAAAGCCTCTTAGGTTTTTTCTTAATGATAATAAGGCGAAGAATATATTTCAGGAACAACTCGAAGGACAGTTAGACGACCATTTAGGCGATTGCCATCCGGAGGCAGGTTGGAACGATATCAGCTAGCAAGGTTAATCATAAGGCTAGAATGAAGCCGTGGATCTCTGTAGAATCCACCGAACTGATAGACGATCTAAAACTCATCCAACCTGGCTCTGAACATGATGAAGAACGAAGTCAACTTAGGCGCAGACTTATAAAAAGCCTACGTAACGATCGCGAACAGTGGTGGGTGGCGAAAGCAAAAGCGATGGAAAAGGCAGCGGCGATCGGCAACAGTAGACAACTTTTCCGACTTATCAAGGAAACTGTTATTAGGAATCCTAGTGTAAGTGAGACTATCTCAGAAAATGACGGGACTATTATTTATTGTCTATCTAGGAAACTGGATCGATGGGCAGAACTCTTTAGGGATCAGTTCAACTGGCCTCGAGCCACTCTTCGGTTACCCACGATCTCCAGTCATCGTGAATGGCAAATCGACGTAAGTCCCCACAGTCTTTATGAAGTTGAGAAAGCGTTAGGAAATCTGAAGCGAGGACGAGCTGCAGGTCCTGATAGACTGAACCCTGAGATATTTAAGGATGGTGGTCCAGTTTTAGCAACAAGGTTGAACGAAATCTTAAATAGAATCTGGGAACTGGACATAATCCCATCCGAGTGGTCTAAATCACTGATTGTCCCAATCTATAAGAAAGGATAAAAGTCTTTTTGTGATAATCACAGGGGAATAAGTCTAACTAATATAGCTTCTAAAATATTGGCCTCAGTAATACTTCGACAAAAGCTAGTGAGGAGCGAACTCGAGAAAACCAGGCGGGTTTCAGACCTGGACGCGGCTGTTTAGACCACATTTTCACACTATGACAGGTCCCGGAAAGCAGACACACATTTAAGCGTCCTACAATAGTTGTCTTCCTGGAACTAAAAGCGGCATTCGACTCAGTGGACCGTAAGGTTCTGTGGCAGTGTCTGTCATTGAAAGGTGTACCAAAGAAGTACATTAACCTTATACAAGCTCTCTGCTCGAACACCACTGGTCGGGTGAGAGCCTATGGCGAACTGTCATCTAAATTCTCTACATCAAGTGGTGTCCGTCAGGGTTGTCCACTCTCTCCATTCTTGTTTAATTTTATCATAGACATGCTCTTAGAAATAACCTTATCCTCGTCTGAATTTTCAGGAGTAGACCTATAACCAGGAGGCTCGTTTATCGACTTAGAATATGCCGATGACGTAGTCCTACTTGGTGAAGACGCTGACAAAATGCAGTCTTCTGACCACCCTAAGCAACAATGCAAGCATGTTCGGGATGCGGTTCTCACCATCGAAATGCAAAATGTTGCTTCAAGATTGGGTTTCACCGTCACCTGAACTAGTGATAGGGAGTGAAGTAGCCGAGCGTGTTGACCACTTCACGTATCTGGGGAGTCTCATCAGCGCTGATGGGCTGGTGACTGACGAAATCTCAGCGCGGATACAGAAGGCTCGATTGGCTTTTATCAACCTGCGTCACTTATGGCGCAGGCGAGATATCCGTTTGCTGACTAAAGGACGAGTGTACTGTGCAGTAGTTCGCTCCGTCCTACTATATGGCTGTGAAATATGGCCAGTGAGAGTAGAAGATATTCGTAGGTTACTGGTTTTCGATCATAGGTGTCTTCCAAGCATTGCTCGTATATCGTGGGACACCCGAGTGAGCAACGCTGTTATTAGGAAACGGGTGCTAGGTAAGAATGGCAGATCAATAGATGAAGTAATGAAACTTCATCAGTTGAGGTGGTTGGGACATGTGCTACATGTAAAAAAAACTACAAAACCGGATAACTATCGACTCCTATACTAAGAGATATAAAACCTCTCGCATTACATGACCTTACCGAGTAGAGATAGACCGTATATGTTCTTCCTTTACTCAGTAATCTTTCGTGCAAAGCGCTATATTACGAAATAAAACCCACTTCATTTGTTCGTCCGGCTCCATAATTGATAAGTGATACACAATGCGAAAGTTCTTCGGACCTGTGTTACGTATGGCTAACCACCGACTGCCTTGACGAGCTTTGTTTTGTAGTGTAGGAGTTGGTTGGAAGAAAGTTCGGGGCGGCCAAACCAAAACATAACAGAAATCCATGAAGTCATGGACAAGTGGACTTAGCCATGTCGGTAGTTGTCGACCACTTGGTTGGGGTCCGTTAGATGATAATAATCGATGGTTAGAGACCCTGAATGACATGGCTCATAATCGTTCGTAATGGCGCCGGTGCATTCATTCTTTATGTCCTCTGAAATCCTAATCTTTTGGATCCATCAACCCCTCTAGTTTTGTCTTTCTAAACCTTACTCATTTAATCAAACTTCTTGAATAATATCTTCTAATCCCAACCTCTCCGATTACTTCTAATACCTTTACTACCTCTTCTACTATTGGATTTGAATTGACAATTACATCTCTGTGCTGATGTGGTATGGCGACATGAACTGATGTATATACGTACGAAGTTCTACGTTGTAACTGACTTGCCTGGTTGTTATTACATACATACCGAATTTTCCGCTGTTAAAAGTGAAAAAGTTTGTGACGCAATAGGCAGAATAAATCCCGGAAGTGTTTCTTACTCTCAACATTCTACAGGTTTTCCCATCCATCCGTGAAGGACAATTCGAGACCTTACGTACAGAGCATGGGATGAACGAGGATGTTGCAAATCCAAATGTTAAGGTAGTAGGGTCTACGCCTAGATGTTACTCTTCCAAGTATTGGTACGGAGCTAGGCGGATTGGTTCTGTATTTCATATTTACGAAATCTAGATTGCAATTCTACGTGATCAGTGTTTGCTAGAGTTGGTAGATACTGGAATCTGAATTTATTATTACAGTGGTGTGTAAAAATATGGTTAAGTTGCAGTAAATAATCTTCCAAGTTTACATGTGCTGGCCTAGAAAAAAGTTGTATGAGTAGTAGTTTACAGCAGGCTGATGACGAAACATCCACCTGAAGTTGTAAGCTCTAGCCAATCGAAGCGTTACGAATTGAAATCTCCAAAAATGAGACAGCAATTAGCCTTACTCCGAAAACAGATATGGCTTGGGATGAAGTTGTTATCAAGGCAACATAGACTACAGTATTTCTAGCTTATGGTCATGTCATCAATATCTCAACATCAGTATTTTCACGGGCTAGTATAAACTGATTCATTTCTTTGCGCTCGATTCTTGTTCTCACGACATGGTTCAAGGTATTTCGTCGTGTTCAGTGTATGATAATCTAGCCGCTTGAATTCACAAGTTCTATTTGCTGGGCAGTTAGTTATGAATTTGTTTGTCCCATGATTTGAATGAATGCGTTTGGTTCAGAGAGGTTGGGGTCCTAGAAACCAGCAGCTATCATGTCTTTAATTCAAGAAAAGGAGGGACACTTTCAGGGACTCACCAGAAAATTACGAGTGTCGGATGTAGGACGTATCTTAGAAATAGGCAAATTCAGATCTGAATACTGTAAGTTTGTTGTTGTTTAGCTTACCTTTTTATAATCCCTAAAGCGGCCACTCAACTTGTGACCTCGAAGTCAGCTGTTTGTGTTGGTATGGATTCTGAAAAGTTGTTGTGGGCTGTTAAGAATGGCGATTTGCAGTCAATAAAAGAAAATCTAAAAAATGTACGCATACATAGTCTTTTATTCATTACTTCAGATGTTCAATGTGAATTCTACGTTTAAAAATGGGAGAACTCTAATTCACTATGCTGCTGATTATGGCCAGGAAGAAATATGTGGTTATCTCATACACAATGGTGCAGATATAAATGTATGCTCTATTATCTTATTCACTGGTTTCGGGTGTCTAGATTAATGACAATTTTGGAGTCACGCCTTTACTTGCAGCCATATATGAGGGTCATATAGATTGCGTTTCTTTGCTGCTTAAAAATGTAACTCCTTATTTACCTTATAGGTTTATTCTTTAGGGTGCAAAGCTGGGACATGCTCCAGATGGCTCGACGTATGTTGACTGTGCGACTTCTGAAAACATAAGGAATATCCTGAGAAACTATGTAACTGTATGATATTAAATTCACAGGATCTACAAACAATGCGGCTTGTATTTTGTACTTTTGTTCGAAAAATCTATCTACTTCTCAGCGAAACGAATTGCTAACAAGTTCTTTCCAGTGTACGTATTTTGAGTTGCAAAAATGTTGCTCGTGAGCTTTGAAAATAATTTGCTACTCATTTTTGCTTTATGTTTCTCTTAGCTTTTCATGAATTATTGTCCATAAAACTGGATGCACTTTTTATCCTTGTACACACTATTTTTGGATTGTATGCTCTAACATATGAAAAGTTTTGAAATAAATCCATATTCCAAAGTTTCAGTCTTTTAACGTGGATTTCGGTGTCTGTATGTCCAGTGTCCTGTGTCTAAGAATTGTGTTCTGATTTTAGGAAACTGGTATTTGTCTATCGTTTGTTCGTTTTTGATTGCTATCAGTCTTATTCAAGACAAGAGTAATTGTAGTATATTCCCACGTTTTTTTCTTCATGGTGGATTATTATTTTCCGACACGTACTGGATATTTTGGAGTGAATGATAAATTTATCCTTAGAAAACAACTGACTAAATCGTACAGTGATAAGACAATTTGCCGCGTAATTTGATTTTAAAGTCACTGAGTAAAACCCTGTTATTTTTAGCTTTCCATAAAGCAGAATTATGGAACTGTAACTTCACTTAGCTTGAAAACGTTTGTAACTGTAATCTTACTAGTAGTTGCTAAGTAATGATTGTCGGAAACTGCAACTTTCAGTATCGATTCATTATAATGTTTAGGAATTGAGCGTAGAATTCTGTGTTCGGGATCATGTTTTATATTACCGCTAATACTGTTAATATTACTAGTGCCCTAGTTGTTTAATCTTCCTGTATTGACGGGGTGTAGCAAGTTGAACACATACTGATACGTACCAGGTTCTGCTTTGGATTTGACTGACTGATTTTGGGGGTTCTGGAAATCCCGAATGGAATATGAAGGCCAGATAGTAGGTAGTTTGATCGCAGGTAGCTGTGTAATATGCGTAGCTTTCATTGGACGCAAATGATATGAGGTTTCGTCTATAGGTCTCTTAAGCATATTTTCTCTTTAAAAGTTCTGACCGGTTCGATGGTTGGTATATTAATCATGATCTGTCATTTAAGCAACTTGTTGGTTTTATACTTTGTATTTTTTGCCAATAGAATTACTCGAAGTTATAGCTTTGAGAAAGTATTTAAAGCCTCCATAATGCTAACACAAGATCATCGGCTATTCAAATATCTAATAATAAATGTTCGGTTTTTTGGTTAATAAATTAACCCATTCTTTTATTTAATTGTAAAATCTTGTTTTTCTGTTCTAGTTGTCTTTCTTAAATTTAAGTATTGATCTTCCTCTTATCCCTTATATTAGAACCCTACTTTCACTGTTCACCGGCCAGTGAACTATAAAAGTATTTTATTTTCATCAAAAAAATAGTTTGCTGTTGCTGACACAATGTCTTCTACTGGTGTTAGATTCTGCCTTACAATTCCAAAGTCGTTAAAACATCCAAAGTATTCTGGTAATACCTATCAAATACGTATTGTCCACAGACTAGTTGAATGTCTTAAGACTTCTCTTATGGAAAATCGTCTAATGTCAACCTTTATTCCAACTGACAGACAGATTAATACTGAATGTGATGACCGGCCAGTATTTACATCTTGTTGTGCAGTTGACGAAACATCAAAAACTGACAATTCCAATTGTTGTGATCATTCTACACACTTTGTTTTGATATATGTACCTAAATCTTGGCTTAAACAATGTGCATCATTACTAAGACCGGATTTATCAATCGATAAACAAGGTTAGTTGTTGTTCAATGTGTTTCAGTAAAAAAATAAATCCACAGTGTAATATGCCATAAGTTGTCGATTTTTGTCCCATATATCGCTTCAAGCCAGGAGGATTATCTCAACACTTTACTTATATTGATAATCAAATTATTTATCGGAGTCGGTTTGTAGCCGATAAAGAATTAAGGAAACTAAATCCAATTATCTCATTCTACAAATTCTATTATGATTAGATTGATTAAATATATGGTAGTGATCTATCTAGGACTAATTTCTGGACAAAGATTTTATTCGTATCATTGTAACTGATTTAAAGTATCAATTACTGACTCCGAATTTCAATTTCCTTTATCTCTTTCAATCAGAATCGGGAAGTTAATCGTTCGTTCCACGGGATTCAAGTCAATAGTCAATGAAATTATTGGTTGCTACTATGTATGAGTCTAGCTTCTGTCACCCTTCACTAAATGTCCTTCGTTCTAATTTCCCATTGATGTGGGCTACTATATCCATAACCAATGCACTTAGGAGATCCTTTTTAGGCTTGTAGCTAGTTATCTAATGAAGCCAGACAACAATATGTTTTCCGTAGATTCCTACTGTATGTAGCAGTTTATTTCTAGTGGCTTAGATCTTAATCTTTAATCTCGCTCAAAAGCTCATATTATACAGCTACGCTGTTAAGAAATGAGGTAATATTTTAACTATTACTTTTATTAATTATCGGCAGGGTTTCCGAGTCCTCTAATTCATTAATCTGTGACTCTTCTCTTAAGTGTATTATGTAACTTGCTGAATAATTGCTGCATATCTGTTTAAGAGTAAAACTGATGTACATACATTTAAATGTGGGCGGTTAATTTAATAGTTCTGTGCATTGTGGTTATATTGTTAGGTTCTTGTATCGGTTTTTAGATGTAAGGTTTATCAGAGGCTGTTATGTTTCAGAAAAAACTTGTCAAATCCCTAAATTCTTTCTAAAAAAAGTTTGTTATGAGTAGCCAAGTGAGTTTCCAGTATTTCATTCAGTCACTGATAAGCAAAACAAAATCTACCACAGATGTGTATCAGCCGAAGTTGCCAAACTTCCTATCAACACGACGAGAGGAAATAAATGATGTAAAATCCAAAAGAGTGGAAACAATAATGCTAATTGTAGAAGTACTTAAAAAGCACGATTAAATTCTAAGAATAAAACACATGAAATAAGCCAAAGAGTAGAATCCAGTTATAGATTATGTTACTCCTGTCAGGATTTTCACTTTTTCTGGAACATCTCGGACTAGTAGCAATGTGGACCAAGTTTTCGATATGGGAATTGTAGATTGATCTCTTTGGTTTATTTTAAAAAGACTAATTATAGTTTCATTGAGTATTTACAAGAAAATGGCTTACTGTTTTAGGTATTCAAGTCCCAGTTTTAAGTTTTCGTATAATCTGTTTCTAATTACCAATCGAGTTAAAATAAAGTTTAAATGAAATCAATGTATGAAGGCATCAGTATGTCATTTGTAACACTTTGATTTTGGTTTCCAGAAATTTCTATTAACTTATGTACTCAAAACGGAAAAATCGATGTTTATTCTGTTATTATCGAAGCTTTTACGACTACAACTGACTTCTTAAAAAATCATTTCAAAAAGTACCTTAAATTCTTAATTCGTTTTTCAATTCTATTAAACCTTTTTAGTCATTCGCCTTTTTTATTTACTTACACCTTGTAGAACTCAATGATTGTATTCAAAAATTATCCAGTGGACAAACAGCTTGGCTTGCTGAACTCGCTATTCGTAGTTTAATTCTGTCCAAAGCACAGATTCAAAGTCTCGTACATGATTTGGATTTGCCCTTAAATCTAGTTAATAATGTTGATAGGCATATTTTGTCGAATCGTTCAGCTTTATTCACCTTGGAATGTTTAGGACTAATATCTAATTTAATTCGAAGTCATGATAAAATGGAGAGACGATATATATGGAGTGATCATTTTTCTTCAGTACACGTATTTCCAGATTCTGAGAAATTACGTCAGTATTTTGGTGATTCAGTTGGATTTTATTTTGTTTGGATGAAGTCATATTGTGTTTACTTAATTTGTCCGTTAATTGCTGGTTTATTTTGTCAAATGTTCAATTTACTAAATAGTCAACTTTTTGACGACAAGGGTGTATCGTTAGGAATTCATTTACTGTATACTATTTTACGATTCTCTGGGCTGTTATCTGCACTAAAATGTGGCAACGTGAGTATGTTTCTTGTGTTGATCGATGGTCTGGTAACGCCTTGATTGAATTAGCAGCAAATGATTTAGTGTGGCTGTTTGACTTTATCGATCAGCGACCAACGTTCCATGGAGTTTGGAGACAAAGCCGCGTTACTGGCCTAATGGAACTGCACTATCCTGCTGCTAAACGTCGGCTACGTTATTTGGCATCTGGTTTCATTACATTAGCATGTTTGTTATGGGCTATATTTATAAATATTGCGCTTTTGAATATGGAGGTAAGTCATCTTATAATTAAACAGAATGCTTTAATCGTTATTTACTTGTTTTAGTAGTATAATTAAGGTGAACTAAGCCGGATGAATCTATAATTCACCCGTTAAACCTTTCTATCAATATCAGATAGGTGAATTTCAGGAAACTAGTTTTAGTCAACGAAATGGATGTGTTATTAAGAAGTTAAAGCTTTCGTTAACATACTTATTGGTTAATCAGTACTTTATGACCAGTCAAGTTACAAGTGATTAATCAGAAATGAAAATAAAATGAAACTTTAGTCATTACTCTCTTGTATAGTACGGTAGGTGTTAGACCAGGCTGCCATAACTAGTGTAATTATAAAGTTCTGGATAGCCTAGCCATTGATCCACGTAAACTAAAATGATGAAGCTTTAATTTTTCTAACATTGTTTGCTCATGTAATGCATGAAAAAAGTTGAGAAACATATCGGCTTCAATGAAACTCAGCAACCTCCAAAACCCTATAGTGACAATGGTTATGCGCACTAGTGACTAGCTTCGTGAAGAAATCCTGGGTGTTCTAATGAGACGTTGTGACTAGTGGAGTTCTACCATGTTGGTATGAGGCAGTTACCCACTGAAGACAATGAATGAGATCGTGCAATGTCGATGATTGATTGGAGTTGGACATTAACATAGTTGAATGCCGGCTCAGTGGTCTGGAGGTCAAGCGTTCGCGCACCAGACTCAAGGTCCTGCGCCCGATTCCCGCGTGCAAAGGCTGTGGATAATCACTGTTGATGAGCCCCGTACTAAAACTAGTTCTTCCAGGTTTCTAATTGTGGTCTAACATTAGTAGGTTCATGACTTCTATGGAACCCAACAATTTCCACAATCTTATGATGTGAAACATCCGAAGGGCCAGAAGAATCCGTTTAATTTTTCAATGAAAAGCCTGACACCAACTACAAACTGTTTTACATGATGATTCAGACTACACAGGTCATAGACTGATGCTCTTCTTTTGGTATACAATCTAAAAAAGGAATCCAAGGAAGTCTGAATGGGATTTAAGTAGTTAGTCATTAATGACATGTATTAAAATTATTTGGGGTATCTAACATTGTACAGAATCCTAAGTATTTGAAGATCATTTGGCTTATGAAGATTTTGGTAAAAAACAACCAAAATGAATAGAAAATCTCAATTTTTTTAAACTTGGAAACATCCCGACAATTAAAACAATAACTACTATATAATAGTTCCAGTGGGAACAATGTAGCATACTGTAATTTAGGTACATCTAGTGAATACAAAATTAGGATATGCTACCTAGATTTCAATAATAATATATACAGTATGTTTTCAGGATGCTAATATCCCAATACAGAGAGATCAGTTGCAGCCACTGTTGACAAAAAGAAAATACAAACCCAAACAGATAGATAATTTGTTGATGCACTTCGAATAACTTTTGAGCTTACGAGTTTTAACTGTTTGATACGAATGTATCGTTAGTATATTTCATGAATTGTGTAGTCGATACTAAACCGCTCAAGCTTCCAATTAAAATTCATTCAGTAGACGTTCAGTAGTCTTTTTACTGTTTGGGATCCTGAGATGTTTTCAGTGAAGTGAGTTAATGCTCAGTTTCGTTTGTTCAATCAATTTTTTGGAGTATATACTATCCGCCTCAAGAGTGAATAAAAATATTGTGTATACATAATCTTATACACTAATTTAGTTTATATATAAAAATGAATTTGATTTAATACACAGTGAGATAGTTTTATTTTCCGGATAAGTTTCTAGGCATTATTTTAAGTGATCATACAACCATTATCACAGTATGTTCAAACTGCTCAACTTAACGTAGTTTAATAATTGCAGGTGTAATAACTGTTTGCCTGTTAAGATGGGAGTAAACTGCCCACCATTTCTGTCGGTTTTAGTTTAAGGCTATGAAACAACTTTCCAAGGTAGAGTAAATACGTGGATTAGTAGTATTTGTTAACATACATTTTCGAAAATTCGTTGACACACAGTAGAACAATCAAGTGAGTATATTGCTAAAGTTAAAGTGTACGGTGTTAGATAAAAAGACGATAATTGTTTCTGTATCTAACTGACCTATTGAAAGATATGATTATTGTACAGTTTGAATCGACGTTCAGAGATCCAGTTTCATCGACTCTTGAGTGATTATTATTTTGATTATTCACCTTCTATTCCTAATCTGATCTATAGTTCACAGTTATACTATCTTTTTTGCTTATTTTATTATTATTATTGTTATTATTATTATTATCAGTTATCAGGTCTGCAATTATCTCAACATTTTATTGTACTAATAAACTGAGAGAATAAAATATTAAACTAAATTGTTTTACGGGTAGTAAATAAATATGTAATATTTAGTGGTTGGAAGCAATTTTCACATGTGCCTAAACCAAGTTTTCATGTTAGTTAGTACTTATTAGGAAGATATGTTTTCGTTCTCGAAGAAATCGATGTTTCCTGGTGAATTCAGAGTCGTATCACCCCAGTTGAAACGAAGTGTACAAGAATTTAATATATCGATAATGATCAATACCTATCGTAGCTGCTACTTTGATGTGGTGGTCGGGCTTGCCTATCTTGATGACCCAACTGAACTATATTGGCTGCAACATATGTTCCTTTGGGTCTTACTATGCCAGGCAGGTCGATTGGAGAACGATGAGAATAAAAGCAGCTAAGCTACTCAAGGTCTCAGGGCTAAGTCGTACTGCTGACTGTAGAGAGGTGTGACAGCAGTAAGGTGTTTCCCTCGGACAACCAGCATCTGCAGCGATGCTGCCTTCTCACAAGGAAGGAAGGGTTTAGAAAATGTCGATCCTGAAAATGTCACACCTCACGTTACCTCATGGATTTCCGTCTCTGGCGGTAAGGCTTTTTAAACAAGAACGGAGATAGGACTTCAAAAACTTGTCATAAAAAGGCCGTGCGTGACAGGCCTGAAGCAGTTGTCCCTTGAGCTCTGCAATCACACTCCTAGGTCTCTACTACAACACTAATCTAACTTCTTTTTCAGGTCCAAATAAGAAACCTTCTCGATTCACACTTCGTGTATCTGAAAGTCCTACTGTTGCTCCCGGTGGCCTCGCTGGTGTAGGTACAATATTAAGTCCTAGGGCAGAACTAGCCCTCAGCCTGGATCCCAGTAAACAGTCGGTTATGCGCTGTCCAACTAAACGTTATAGTAAGGACTCGGAAAGATAGGGACACGAGGAGGAGCAGCGAACGCTAATAGCCCTAAGCAACAATGCAAGCATTTTCGGAATGCGATTCTCCCCCTCGAAATGCAAAATCTTGTTTCAGTATTGGCTTGCATCAGCCCTTCAAATAGTGACTGGGAGTGAAGTAGTTGAGCGTGCTGACCGCTTCAGTTATTTCGGGAGTCTCATCAGTGCTGATGTCCTATTGTGTGACGAAATCTCAGCGCGGATACAGAAGGCTCGACTGGCTTTTGCCAACTTGCGTCACTTACGGCATGGGCGAGATATCTGTCTGCTAACCAAAAGACGAGTGTACTGCGCAGTAGTTCGCTCCATCCTACTATACGGGTGTGAGACATGGCCAGTAAGTGTAAAGGATATTTGTAGGTTTATAGTATTCGATCATGGGTGTCTCCGAAGCACTGCTCGTATATCCTGGGACAATCGAGTAGGCCAAGCAGTTGTTAGGAAACGAGTACTAGGTACTGATGGCAAATCATTTGGTGAAGTGGTGAATCTTCATCAGTTAATATAGTTGGGACGTTAGTTGAGTATGCTCAACCACTGACTGCCTCGACGAGCAATAATTTGTTCTGTTAGGGTAGGTTGGAAAAAAGCTAGAGGCGGCCAGACCAGAACGTGGTACAAATCCCTGAGGTCTTTGAAAACGAGACTTAGCCATGTATGTAGGTGTACATTATCTGGTTGGGGTCCGCGAGACAATAGTAATGGTTAGAAGCCTTGAACGACATGGCTCAAAATCGTTTGCAATGATACAGGTGCATCAATTCTTTGAGTTCTCTCAAATTCTAATCTTCTGAATTCCTCATCACCTTCATGTTTCGCTTCTCAAATTTATTTCACTGGATTATACTTCTTGAATTGTATCTTCTGACCATGATCTTTTCGATTACTGCTGATACTTTTATCTTCACTACCACTATAGGATTCGGATCCATAACTGGATTGCAGTGTTAATGTAATATGGTAACTTGAACTGATGTACGTACGTACGAAGTCCTGCGTGGTAGCTGGCTGACTGACTGGAGTAACAAAGGTTGATGTATATTGTTGAATACATACCACGATAGTAGTGATAATTTTCTACCCTCAAGGACTTTCACTCAATAAAGCTCTGGTTTACGGTTTACACAGTCAAATATATCATGGTTTTGTGTCGTGTGTTCACATAATCACGTTGAATTTATGAGATCATGATTGTACCCTAACTTGCTTTTGATATCAAAAAAAGACATTGACCAGACAATTAAATTAGTGAGGCTCTAAAACATTCTTAATTTTGGCTGCATTAAACTATACAGTGTATTTCGGTTTTTCATACCAAAGGAATATTGTCGCTTAACTATTAAGTGATACTTATTATATTCATTTTTAGTAGAGTTTATCCTCTATCTGTGTATGTATAATTCATTTCAGTCATTATTAAATTTTTATGTATGTAAATTATATGGTAATTGCCTTATTTAATAGTTGAGAAATAATTCTCAACTTTTAACATTACAGTATGGTCTTTGTTATAGATTTTTAAAAAAAATAACGCGAAAATTTATTATATCTTAATAGTTTTACTATACTTAAACTAACTACAAATATATATTGATAGTAAAGATTGTATGCATAAAATTCTATGTGAATAATACACAAGTTACTTATTCAAAACAAAAGAAAATGTTCAAAATACCACTACAGATCAATATCATGAAAGTTAAAAATTAAGAAATAAGTAGTTACTCATATAGTTATAGGAAGAGTCACAATTGATTTAACTAATTTAGTATTCTACAAAAAATAAAACAACACATACATAATATTAAAGAATAAGTCAAATTATGTTATGAGTGTTATGAGAATGTGTACAACACTAATTCAAACCCTAGAATTTCAGTGACGAGATCCAGTTTTCATATCGGATCATATAATGTTTACTGTTGTTGTTGATGATGCCAAGAATGAAACTGAATATATATTTTTTAATTATTCACGATTTTCAGATATCATCCTTTGTTAAAGACTAGTTTTCAGTATTTACAAAAAATATTTCAATCTATTGAGGTCAACCATAATCTTTAAACATATCTAAAGCATCCATTAGTTGTATGTACTTATTATATTGAAGAAATATTTATACTTTGTAGTAGAATATTTTAAATAATTAATTTTGATTTAGAAGAGCTGAGAAAAAAAACTCAATATGCATTAGTTTTCACATAGACTAGAATAGAATAATTGTTCTATAAACTAATTCGTATAGACAGCTAAGATCTCAGAGGGTCAACGGTGATTTGTTTAAAGTAATCAATAGGTTTCATTTTATCTACTTAGGTTTAGGAACTCCGATTTTCTCACTAGCCCTCGAAAAAATAATACAACCTAAAGTTGACTTTGTAAATCTGTTACTTGGTAAATGATTATTATCTCCTTCAATATTAAAGTTACTGCTATACAATAGAAAAGGACCGTTTCGTTAGACATGATTGTGAACTTAAGCAAATTAAATAATCGATATTTTCATTCCTCATATTTGAAACCTTTGGTTGGTCAAATCAGAACTTTCCACTATATTGTACAACTAATTACCACTGAGTAAAACATAACTAAGGATAGCGGATTGTCGATTCGTAGCTCATTTTTCTGAATTTATTACTTCCTCGTTATATTTAACTTCCTCACTTCTATCTTCTGAATTTTTACTTACTGTATTGTCTGTGTGTTTTTATGGCATGCATCAGCACATTTTATATCTGAATTTATTTATCTACTTCATTCCTTAGGTTTGATATCTTTAGTGGGAGATAAACATTTCACTGAATACCATATAATGTTGAACTTGTAGAAAATATCTTTCTTTATCGTACATTATTGTTTCTTGTATTTCTACTCTAACTGTTGTTTCTCTCAATTTTTCACAGGGTTACATCGTAGCAGAAAAGTCACCATGGTTTCATATTCAATTTGTAAGTCAGTTCGCTGAACCTGATGCAATATTTGATCCGAATGCTAGTGGAATGTTATCCTATGTTCCTGGGGTTTTACATTCTTTAATGGTTTTTGTTATGAATCAAATGGTTTTTCGTGTTATCGCTGAACATTTAACTGAATGGGAAAATCATTCTGTAAGTTAAAACTCATTTTCTTTTTCAGCGAATAAATATTATAAGGCCTTCAGATTAAGTAATCATATGCACTTATATCCACTAGTTTTTAGGTATCTTACTGGAACAAGCATGTCAATTCAATTAGTTAATTTAATTTCGATTTTGTTATTCAAGGATTGATATTTATCTACTTCAACACAATGAAGCACCATATGATATTCAATGATGTTTACAAACCTTCTGAACCAAAAGTCATTACGGAAGATTAACTACCAGTTCATTGAAAAATGCGAACAAATCTTGGTTACAAATAAAAGACACTGAATCGAGTTAAATAGCGTCTATATAATGTTTTGACTCTTTTTAGGCAACTTCTGTTTATCGCAATTGTAACAGTTAGTGAGACTGGGCTGATGTAGCATCATTTGAAAAAGTTAGTTGAGTTAGTGGTCATTGAAAGGCTTTTGAACGCACTTTAGTCGCTAGTAACCAGAAACATTTTCGGTTGAACGATTTATAAGGTTGTTGGAGTGGCTATAAGGAATACTATAGGATATCTCAAACTTTAGGCGGAGAACTTTAATGGACAATTCGTTTGGTAAACAGTTTTACCAATTTCAATGGGTATTGTTATGCATGCACGTCAACACGTCATTTGCTATACTTGAACTATTACGAGTTCACCTTAGTCGGTGAACGAGAGCGAGGATCGATAACCCGGCTACACGACAGGCTGCTCTAATCCGAGCGTCCCAAAACCCCATTTAGTAGAAGAAAAAGACGTGATATGAAGTAGAACATGTATTCTAAAAGCATCCAGACAGTACGAGGTCCGAGTCCAGGAGAGAATGAGGATGCTGGACTGAGGATTTGGATCATAAAACGTTACAGATAATCCATATTCATACGGTTAGTTCGAATAGGAAACAACATTGCAGTATGCGATATTGATAGTTAAGACGACCAATAGGAACAACCAATAGGAATTGACCAGTAGAATTAGACTTACAAATAATTCTCTTAGGATATTTGATGAATATCTTAACAGGTATACAAGCGGTTCTCTCCATTGTTTCGGAATGATTGTTGTGAGAAAGACTTGCCCCGTTTAACTATGTTTAAAGTTGCAAAAAAGCTTCTGTAGTAAATGTTGATGTTAATCTATACCTGGTATCTGAAAGTAGACTTTTCGATCTGGATTATGTACTCAACCTTGTCTTACATTTAAAAGGAAGCCTACAGACCATGCAAATCGTACTAAATCACTTAGTGATCAGCTCCTGAATATATAGCATATGGTGTGTATCATAAAAATGAAAATTACTTCTTCAAGCGTGTCTAGGGCCTGTTGAGATTCATATGTCTTATCACGTATTGTTGATGGTGGTCTTATTACGGACAATAATATCTCAGAACGTGTACACATCTATAGATTATTTTCTATTCGCTACAATCTTGGATTAGAATCTTTAATGGATTGTGTTTAACGCAAATATTCTAAATCTTGCGACTCCAGTCGCATGAAAAGGGCGTAAAAATGTCAGTTTATTATAATATGGCAATTTAAAATTGACATCTGTTGATTCAGTAGGTCCCATTCGATGGGATTTTTATAATCATACAGCGTAGTGACTTGGAAAGTTTCTAAGACAGTGTTTAGCAGTTTCTTCGATACTACATAAGCTGTAGGATATATCTTTTCAATAAGTGTCTTAGACTGTATCATTTAATACATAACTATTTTTGCATCTTAATTTAATGATGATGGGCAGAACACTTTAGGGATCAGTTCAACTGGCCTTCAGCCACTCTTCGGTTGCCCACGATCTCCAGTCATCCTGAATGGCAAATCGATTTAAGTCCTCCCAGTTTACATGAAGTTGAGAAAGCTATAGGAAATCTAAGGAGAGGTAGAGCGGCAGGTCCCGATAGGCTTACCCCTGAGATGTTTAAGGATGGTGGTCCAGTTTTAACGGTTAGACTGACCGAGATCCTAGGTAGAATCTGGGAAATGGACGTAATCCCATCTGACTGGTCTCAGTCGCTAATTGTCCCAATCTACAAGAAAGGACAGAAGTCCTCTTGTGACAATCACAGAGGAATAAGTCTAACTAATATAGTTTCTAAATTGTTAGCCTCGATTATACTTAGACGTCTAACTAGAGCTCGCGAAGAGCAGACTCGAGAAAACCAGGATGGTTTTCGACCTGGACGTGGACGTATAGACCACATCTTCACACTACGACAGGTCCTGGAACACAGACACACATTTAGACGTCCGACAATAGTCGTGTTCCTGGACCTTAAGGCGGCATTCGACTCAGTGGATCGTGAGGTTCTGTGGCAGTGTCTGTCATTGAAAGGTGTACCAAAGAAGTACATTAACCTTATACAAGCACTCTACTCGAACACCACTGGTCGGGTGAGAGCATATGGCGAACTGTCATCTGAATTCTCTGCATCAAGTGGTGTCCGTCAGGGCTGTCCACTCTCTCCATTCTTGTTCAACTTTGTCGTAGACATCCTCTTAGAGTTAACATTAAGCTCGTCAGATTTTTCAGGGGTTGACCTTCTACCAGGAAAATCGCTTACTGATCTAGAATATGCCGATGACATAGTTCTATTCGGTGAAGACGCTGACAAAATGCAGAGTCTTCTGACTACCATAAGCAACAATGCGAGCATGTTCGGGATGCGGTTTTCCCCCTCGAAATGCAAAATGTTGCTTCAAGACTGGGTTGCTTCGGCACCTGAACTAGTGATAGGGAATGAAGTAGTCGAGCGTGTAGATCACTTCACTTATCTGGGGAGTCTCATCAGTGCTGACGGTCTGGTGACTGACGAAATCTCAGCTCGGATACAGAAAGCTCGATTGGCTTTTGCCAACCTGCGTCACTTATGGCGTAGGCGTGATATCCGTTCGCTAACCAAAGGGCGGGTGTACTGCGCAGCAGTTCGTTCCGTTCTCTTATATGGCTGTGAAACATGGCCGTTAAGAGTAGAAGATGTTCGTAGGTTACTAGTATTCGATCATAGATGTTTAAGAAGCATTGCTCGTATATCGTGGGACAGCCGAGTAAGCAATGCTGTCGTTAGGAAACGAGTACTAGGTAAGGATGGCAGATCAATAGATGAAGTGGTGAAACTTCATCAGTTGAGGTGGTTGGGACATGTGTTACGTATGCCTAACCACCGACTGCCACGACGAGCTATGTTTTGTGGTGTAGGAGTAGGTTGGAAGAAAGCTAGGGGCGGCCAGACCAAAACATGGCACAAATCCATGAAGTCACTGACAAGTGGACTGAGTCATGTTGGTAGATGTAGACTACCTGGTTGGGGTCCGCGAGACGAAAGTCATCAATGGTTAGAGACCTTGAACGACATGGCTCAAAATCGTTTGCAATGGCGCAGGTGCATCCACTCTTTGTGTTCTCTCAAATCCTAATCTTCTGGATTCGTCAGCACTTCTAGCTTTGTCTTTCTAACCTTATCTCACTGAATTATATTTTTTGAATAATATCTTAAACCCTAGTCTTCTTTATTATAACATTAATACCTCTACTATCTTTATCACTATGGGATTTGATTTGACATTTGCGTCTCTGTGCTAATAATGTGGTATGGCAACATGAACTTATGTACATACGTACGAAGTTCTACGTTGCAACTGACTGACTGAATGATGATGTTCGTTTCTATAGTTTTATTCTTCTTAATACTATCATTTCCAAAAAAACATTCATCTATCATTCTGTATAATTTTAATCTGTTTTTATTTCATATTAATTTTAAATTGAAAATGAAATTTTCGCTATCAGATTATTTGACTAAAAGAAATTTATCAATATTAACCAATTAATTTTAAAAAAATAATTTCAACTCAACAATAATATGTTACTAATAATTATCAGTTAAAACAAATGAAAAGAATTAAATTTATTGATATTTTCAGTAACATTTATCAGTTAAATAATCAATATGTAGTAATTATTTTTAAGTAGGAAATAATAATTAATTATTTGTTTGTTTATTTTTCTCTCTCTTCAGACAAATAAAGACTATGAACATTCATTGATTTTGAAACGTTTCTTATTCGAATTAGTTGATGCTTATGGTGGTTTAGCTTATTTAGGCTTTATTCTAGTTGATCGTTTGGCATTACATTCACTTTTGTTAACAATGTTTGCTACAGATTCAATAAGACGTTTAACACTTGAATGTATTATACCATATCTACTTTATCGATTTCGTGCATGGAAAGAAAAACACTATACTGGTTTAATTAAACGTGACAACAATAATAATGCGAAATCTATGTATCAAATACGTGTCGAACGTGAATTATGTGCAGATAGTTATGAATCATTTGATGATTATTTAGAAATGGTTTTACAACATGGTTATCTTGTATTATTTGCTTATGCATCACCATTATTTATTACATTCTTAGCTGTATTATGTACATTTTTTGAAATACATTTTGATGTATTCAAATTATTTTGGGTGACACAATGTCCTAAATCAAATTTATTACTTAGAGGACAGTCTATATGGTTATTGTTATTAGGTATACAAGCTTGGCTATCTGTATTAACTAATGCTGGTTTATTAATATCAGAAATGCATCAATTTGAAATATTAACTGATATGTCAACAAGCACTATATTTCTAATATTTGAACATTGTCTTATATTCATTGCATTGTGTATACACTTTTTAATATCTGATATACCAGTTAGTGTACGAGATGCTAGATTAGCTCGAGATTTTGCTAGAACACGTTTATTGAATCCTAAAAAAGATCAATAATGATGTGAAGAGACTGCAAATAGATGGATGTATTACGTGATATTACAAAGCTTAAAACAAGAACACAGCATGATGATATGTGAGTAACTATTTTAGTCCTTTTTCACCTACTTACATCTATTATATTATTTGCTTTGAATAAGTTATATCTTACTTAATATACCTTACATTTTTATACTATGAGATAGTGACTCTTGTAAACTCTTGATTTATACTTATCTAACTTTAACAAAACGTTTTTTTTTCGATGACTAATCAATGAATCTAGTAGTAATGTTGTTTTAAACTTTTAATTATATTAGTGAATACAAACTATTGTCTTTCCTGTTAGCATATAATTCGTTAAATTTTAAAAAAGCTTTTTATCTTGAGTTAGGACTAGTTAAAGAACGGTTAAAATCTCAGTAGCGTTTGTCAACAATTTTTCATTGCTCTAAAATACCTCAAAGTTATGCACTTCATACGATGCTGAATTGAATACTTTTGAGTATCTCGTAAAGCATATTACATTTAAAATGCAAAGCTTGAGTTCATCACTTTACATAGTTAACTTCCATCAATTAGTTTTGCAGGACAATTATAATGCAATATTAAATGATGAGTTTTTCTCTTAGTTAATTCCATGGGTCTCTCGCCCAAACTTGGTCAATAGTTGTTAAACAAGTTGGCTTTGGTGTTATTTCAAATATGAGTTTCATCATGAAATACTAATGTTCTGTCCTTGACCTCGCAGAGGGAGTTATGGTCACTGTTTATGAATTTTTAAGTCACTTGCTCGTGCATAAAACATTAACTTTTTTTGAATATAAATGGTTAATGTTGGGATGACTAATAGGAAGTGTTCGCTTGAATAAGTTTATACGTAAAATGAAAGTGTGAGATTACTGATCGGAGTAAATGTGGTCAACATGGGGTGTGACAAATGAAGAATCATCTAATATGTAGAATAACATAAATTAAGTGAATAGGGGTTGATGCTGAATAAATTTCTCAAAACGTTTACTAGAATTATAGCAATAATAATAATCTTTATGAATATGTTCATTGTTAGTATGGGGTTGTGGAGATTGTTGAGTCTCATTAAAGTCATGAACTGATCAATGTTGGAACACCGTTAGAAACCTGGTAGTACCGAACGGTCGTTTCGTCCTGGTATGAGACTCGTCATCAGTGCACATCAGCCCGGCCGCAATCAGGAATCAAGCTCAGAAACTCCGGTCTACCCCATTAATAAGCACCATACTAGGGCGAAACGGCCATCTAGTGTTTCTGTCTTTCCAATGGTGGACTAACATTAATCAGTCCATGAATTCAGATATAAATTGAGCTACGAAAATACAAAAAGGGGTGGGTATTGTGTATACAATAACCAGATTATTCCCATCCAAAAACTCCGCCTGTAGAACCTTCGGGGCTACTGCCAGTCCCAAGCCCGGATAAAGGAGGACGGTTGGTGTTGGCGACCCCATCCCGCAAAAAACTAACTCGCTAAAAAACGCTAACAAGAAAAAATAATTCAAATCATGTAAACGGCTCCGAGAGTTAGATCTTCATCTAGAATATTTATGACGTCTCATGACGAAAGCTGAGTTCCTTCAGAATTCCTGAGGCCGATGACCATTCTGGCAACCAGAACCCTTCCACGATGTGGGTAGCCGGGAATTGCCGTCCACCCTCATACCCATAAATGCACAAGTGACCAAACTGGTCACAGTCGGATCCTTTCTACATCTCCTAATAACGCTCTTATCTCCTCGACCACCCCTTCTTTCGATTGTTTATCACCTTGCACTACTGAAGCAAACGGTTTGAGCTCACGAAAAATTTTTCCTGATCTCTTGATACCCCGTAATAAATTACCTACAGGAGCTTTTAATGTTCGAACCTTTTGCAAAACAGGGCAACAGGCTTCATTAGCTAGAACTCTGGAATCCCGGTCGATTTATGTGTGCTGTGTCTCCGAAATGCGTATACAAGATCCGATTGAAATCATCAATTTGATTTCATCTAGTGAAGATAGAGACACAACATGGCCTACACTTCGTGCTTCAGGTAGACCTGATTCTGCCTCCCGTGGCCTCGCCGGCATAGGTATGGTATTATGTCCGAGGGCAGAACTAGCTCTCTTAGACTGGATCCCGATAGATAGTCGCTTATGCGCTGTCCGACTAAACGGGACGGTGCGGACTCGTGAATATAGGGACACTCACCGTTGCCTCTTCGTCGTATCTGCCTACGCTCCCACTGACTGCAGTTCAGACGACATAAAAGATGAGTTTTACAGAAACCTCTCTAAACTTTGAAGAGTTAAGCGCTTTGATATAGTAATAATGGCTGGTTACTTTAACGCTCAAGTAGGTAGACTAGGTGAAAAGAAAAGACACGGGTGGATCTTATGATGTCGCGGCTAATAGGACAGATAATGGAGACCGTCTACTGTAGATATGCCCAGATAACCGCCTATTCCTAGCAAACACTAACTTTAAGCATAAGGTAAAACACCTTTTGACCTGGTGACCCCCAAAACCGACCAACGATAGACCCAACTAGATCACATCGGTGGAAATGCTCTGTTCAAGACGGCCGCTCATTCTGGAGCACTTCTTTAGGCTCAGACCATGCTCTACTGCGAGTGTGTATTTGTTTGCGTCTTACTGGACGTAGGAAAAGCACCGCAAGTAAACCTTTTAGGGCTCTACTTAATGTTAATAAATATATGAATTTATTTCAGGAACAACTAGAAAAACAGTTATGCAGCCATTTAGTAAGTGATGCCCACCCTGAGGCAGCTTGAAATGATATCACAAAGGCGGTGGAAACAGCAGTGATATCTGCTTTTAAGGTAAGCCATACAGTTAGGAAGAAGTCGTCGATTTCAGTAGCATCTACAAAACTGATGGATGCTCGAAAGCTCATCCCATCTGGCTCGGAGTGCAGTGAGGAGCGGAGTCAGCCTAGGCGCAGGCTGATAAAAAGCCTACGCAATAATCGTGAACAGTGATGCGTAGAGAGAGCGATAGAGATGGAAAAGGCAATGGCGATAGTCAACAGTAGACTACTATTCAGACTAATTAGGGAGACCGGTATTAGGAATCCGATTGTGAGACTATCTCAGAAAAGGATGGTCTTATTATTCATTCTCGAACCAGGAGATTGGATCGATGGACAGAACACTTCATGGATCAGTTCAACTGGCCTTCAGCCACACTTCGGTTACCCACGATCCCCAGTCATCCTAAATGGCAAATCGAATTAAGCTGTCCGAATCTTTACGAATTGGAGAAAGCTATAGGGAATCTGAAGCGAGGGAACCAGCGAGTCCCGATAGTTTGATACCTGAGATTCTTAAGGATAGTGGTCCAGTTTTAGCAGATAGATTGACTGAAAATTTGGGAACTGGACGTAATCTCATTCGATTTGTCTCAATCCCTGATTGTCACAATTCATAAGAAAGGACAAAAGTCTTTGTGACAGTCACAGAGGATTAAGTCTGACTAATATAGTTTCTAAATTGTTAGCCTCCAGTATACTTAGACGCCAGGCTGGTTTTCGACCTGACCGTGGACGTATAGACCACATCTTCACACTACGATAGGTCCTTGAACACAGACACACATTTAGGCGTCCTACAATAGTCATCTCCCTGGACCTTAAGACGGCATTTGACTCTGTGGATCGTGAGGTTCTGTTGCATTGCCTGTCATCATAAGGTGTACCAAAGAAGTAGATTAACCTAATACGAGACCTCTACTTGAACACTACAGGTCGATTGAAAGCTTATGGCGAACTGTCATCGAAATTCTTTACTCCAAGTGGTGTCCGTCAAGGATGTCCACTCTTCCCATTCTTGTTTAATTCTATCATACACATGCTGCTAGATATAACATTATCAAAGTTTTCAGGAGTAGACCTTCTACAAGGAGACTCGCCTATTGACTTAGAATATGCCGATGACATAGTCCTACTTGATGAAGACGCTGACAAAATGCAGTGTCCTCTGACTACCCTAAGCAACAATCCAAGCATGTTCGGCATGCGATTCTCCCCTGAAAATGCAAAATTTCGCTTCAGGATTGGCTTCTATCTGCATCTGAACTAGTGATAAGGAGTGAAGTAGTTGATCGTGTAGACCGCTTCACTTATCTCGGGAGTCTCATCAGTGCTGATGACTGACGAAATCTCATCACAGATACAAAAAGCTCGATTGGTTTTTACCAACATTCGTGACTTTCTGAAGTATCGCTCATAAATCGTGGGACCGCCGAGTAAGCAATGCTGTTTTTAGGAAACGAGTGCTAGGTAGGCATAGCGAATCAATAGCTGAAGTATTGAAACTTCATCAGTTGAGCTGGTTAGGACATGTGTTACGAATGCCCTACCACCGACTCCCTCGACAGCGATGTTTTATAGTGTGGGAGTAGGTGGGAAGAAAGCTAGAGGCGGCCAAATCAAAACATGGCACAAATCCATGAAGTCACTGACAAATGGACTGAGCTATGTTAGTAAGTGTTGACTACCTGGTTGGGATCCGCGAGAAGATAATAATCGATGATTAGAGAACTTGAATGACATAGCTCAATACCGTTTGCGATTGCGCTTGTGCGTTCATTCTTTGTGTTCTATGAAATCCTAACCTGAAATCCTCATCTTCTTCATGTTTTTCTTTTCAAGTTTATTTCACTAGATTCTATTTCTTGAATAATATCTTCTAATCCTAATCGCTCCAATTACTGCTAATACCTTTACTACTGCTACTACTATTGGATTTGAATTGACAATTACATCTCTGTGCTAATGTGGTATGGCAAGTTGAACTGATGTACATGCGTATGTTTGAAGTTCTACGTTGCTATTGATTGATTCCCATCAAAATGATTGTTTTCTAATCAGGCCAGCAGTTGGCTCAAGTAAAAAGTAGTGGTCGAACTTATTTCTTCTGGACGCAAAGCTTTGAGTTTTGATCCGAATCGGTATTGTTTCATTTGTCCGAAGGATTCTTA